GGGGGGGGGGGGAGAATGTGAATAAGCAAAGCAGTGGACACAGAAACATGCACACATTGGATAAATAACATGGCGTTTAGTTTATTTAATAAAAGAGCACATGTTCAATGTGAAAAGTGACCGTAGATAGATTACTTGAGTTGACATTTGGTGCTATATATATATATATATTTTTTAAATAAAAAAAACAAAAAAACACCTTGAATTTCAGGCAGGGCGCGGGGCCCCGCCGAAGCGTCCCGCCAAGACAATGGTAGGGGAAACACTGTCCCTTATGTTTATTAAATGGTTAACTTTTGCATGACATGTAATTCTAAGTACAACAAAATTAGACATAACTAAGTTAGACATCTTCCTGCAGGACCACAGATATTCAGCCGTCACTGAAGTTGATGAAAAATAGATCTAAACAGATGTTTCACCACTGTTAAAAATGTTGGATTAAAAGTAGGAAACAGTTAAAAAGGGGTTTCCTTAAATAAACCAGCAACTTAACAGCTTGATCTGAGAATCTGCTGCACTTTAAAACAAAGACATTAACGTTCATTGTTTGGTCTGCTTTGCACCAGATGTAAACTTGAAATTAAATATCGCTATGAATAAGGCATCCTGCCAGTTCTAAAAGGATTAAATCTAATAATGTGTCAATGGACACATTACCATCATGTCAATAATGAGGAAACAGGAACTATGTCAGCAGTCCATTGCATTTAGTTTTTTGAAAAGTGCTGTATAAATAAAAATAAAGTTATTTCTGCCTTCACAAACCTGCCAGGGTTTACCCCAGGAAACTATTGAGCAGAGGTGGGGGTCCACTCATATTCTGACCTATTTGTTATTCTTATGTAGCATCAATAGAAGTGCATTTAGTTGTGAAATCCAGTGTAAACAATGGCATTAAATCAACCTCAAATCTTTAATGTACGGCATTTTTTATTTGCGTGAAATAATCTCCGAAGCGTGCACATCTTTTAAGTTTAATTTCAGAATTTTAGAGGAGGGTATAACATGCATCCAGTCATCGGCTGGAATTGAACGGGCTGTATGGAACTTAATGTAACAAATTGATAACAGAGACTGCATTTATTTTAAAAATTGTATTAAGTATCATTTCAATACACAAATTCTTAGTCATTCATTTGAGTTTTGAATCCCTAATCAATCAAATAACCGTTTTTTTTTTTTATGAGTGTTCAACTTTATGGTGATTTTATGGATGCGGTTGCATTATAAACCCTATTGTTCTCCAGCTCCACTACAGATTACAGCCTCTGAATTTGAAGGAACCGCTCTCCCAAACAAGTTCAAAATAAACTACGGTTGGATTTATTGCATGACTGTTGAATAGACCATGGCTGACATTTTGACTCGTGAATGCAGGAAAAGCACAGTTTTCATTATGTATATTACATAATATAATTTGTAGTATGTATTAACATTAATAATAAATCCAATTGATTAAGTATTCAAGTTAACGATATCAGTGAAGGAACATGCACAATACACCTGTGCTTCACCTGCTTTAGTACAAATGTCTGCCATGAGAAGAGGCTACGTTCAGTGGTAGTTAAGAAAGTGAAAATGGGAAACAAAATGAAAATGACTTATAGTACTTAGCTATCATCATTTCACCTCATAGAAGCAGCTCCATTTACCACGATTAATTTTTTTTTAAAAAGCCTTCCTGTAACTGTAACACCACTGGCAACTGTTTAACCAGAGCTTGAGTAAACAGAGCGCTCACCAATCTACTACCTGGAGTACCTGACCTGTTTGTGTGCAGTCCAACAGCTGTTTGCACTGCAGAGGCAATTACAAATGTCTAGGTATATGTCTACAATAAACAACTCACAACGAGTGTTCATTCAAGAGCCAATATATCATTTAAATTAGGGCTACAACAAAGGATTATTTTCAGGTTATTCTGAAAAATGTACCTAATAATAATGTTGTTATCGTTAACACCTTGATTACTCCTGCTTTGACACGTCAGACATGCCGTTAAAACAAAGACCATTAAGCTTCCTCTTTGTGTCATCCTCAAAACACTTCAATACTTATTTCCCACTCATAGACCAATTAATGGTCCGGGTGTGGGAGGCTATGAACAGCTACATGATGACATGTAACAAAAACATGTCCAAAAGACGTGTAGAAGTAAAGAAGAACTGATTGAAGTCAAGGGATGTGAAAACAAGGTTCCAGCCTCCTAACGATGAGGATACAATATTTTTCTGTTTCAGGTTATTATGAATTAAGTATGATTGGGTTGTGGGAACTTTCAAAACTGAATCATTAGAGAAAAAACAAAACATACCAAAACAATGTTTTGAATGTGTCTGGAAAAATTGGAAAATGTTTCAATTGCACAGTCAGTGGGATGTTTTAAAGATACAAGCTGAGAAAACTAAGACAGCAACTAGCAGTATTTTTTTACATTTCTGATTAATCTGCAGAATATATTTTTTGTATCATCAATGAATTGTTTTATCTCTACAACGTTGAAAATCTTTCCAACACGACTTATTCAAATGTTTTGATTTAACTTACCAAAGAAGTATATACAAAATAATGTTCTTATGTGAGCTAGGAAAGTATCAAATCCTCACATGGGAGAAACTGGAACAGCAAATGTAAACAATGTATTGATAATCAAAACAATTGCAGATACATTTTATTGACTACCTAATGGAATAGCCTACAAAAACAAACAAACATTTTTTACTTGTTTGTGAGAAAGTGTTGAATCATGCAGTCGACAGAAAAAAAAGGGTCGACTTTTTCGGCAACCGGTTTGTAATATTGCAAAAATGCCAAAACATGTTCTAGTCCTGGGCTCTGAAGTGTGAGGATATGCTCCTCTTCTTTATATAATTTGATAGTTAACTGAATATTTGGGGATTTTACACTTCTATTGATAAAGAAGCAATTTGAAGATGTCTATTGGATTCAAATTATGAAAATGTTTTGTGAATCAGATTATGATTGTCATTTTTTTCACTATTCTCCGACACAAATCAACTATTGATTTATAAAGAATAAAGCTTTAAATCGATCTATAATGAAAGTGATTCTGAAGTCCTATCTAAGTTAGTGTAGCTGTAACTTTACTACATAACATACTGTATCATTTCTCTCAGCCCCACTGCTCAGCAAGTGTTAGGCTCCTACAACAAAACCTCACCCTCAGCCAGATAACATCATCCCCCGAGTGCTTCAATATTTCCTTTAGCATCATATGAAACAAGATGGAGATGATCTTACAAATGCTCTGTGGCCACTGTGTTCAAGCTCCAATTAAAAACAATATTAAAGCTAATTTTTCAACAGGAAACCGACGTCAACACTCACACAAGGCCACTGGGGACCTAAATTACCGTTGAAATTCAAAAGCGAAAACAGGAACTGTGAACTAGAGAAATACACTTACATGGAGAGATTGCAGGAGGGTATTTTGTAATGATGTGGAAGTGTAGCACTAGTTTTCCCCTTCAATTCAAGGCCTTTTAAAAAATGTTAACATGCAGTGGTGGAATATAAAGAAGTACAACTTGGAGGTAGGCTCATTGTAAAACATTTCCATTTTCTGTTATGTTTTACTTCTACTCCATTACATTTTAGATGCAATTATTATTATTTTTAATTGAGAATTTTGTCTGACAGCTTTAGTAACTTTACAGATTGCAAATGATCTTACCCTTCCTGTCCAGTGAATATGAGGCATTACCAGATGTGTTGATGGTGAATGATTGTTGTTTACCAGAGGCGGAAACAGTACTCAGATTGTGTACTTGAGTAAAAGTAGAAGTACCAGAGTGTAGGAATACTCTGTTGCAAGTAAAAGTTTTGCATTCAAAATGTTACTCAAGTAAAAGTAGAAAAGTATTAGCATCAACTATACTTCAAGTACCAAAACTAAAGTACTCATTCTGCAGATTGGTCCATTTCAGAATAATATATATTATGTGTTTTGATTATAATTATTGATGCATTAAAGTGTTATCAAAGCTGGTAAAGGTGCAGCTAGTTTTAATGACTTTGTATACTGCAGGGAGGATTGTGAATTTACTCCAGGTGCAACTAAAGTCTAATTTAAGAGTTAATTATATTTCACATTATTAATCCGATTGGAAATGGAAATGGAAATACTCAAGTAAAAGTACAAGTATCTAACATTCTTACAGTACTTGATTAAATGTACTTAGTTACTTTACACCACTGCTGCTAACTTAATGATAAAGCTTTCCCTTATGAGTTAGGAAAACGCTCCTACTTCTTATACTGAACAAACAGGGCTGTGTATCTTCTTATAGATATGTTGTTCTCACAAGACAGCAATGGCACAATCAAATAATGATATTGTAGTTTATGATGCATAGCCATAACTTAAACCAACAGCATATAAAAGGAATTACAATTAGCACAACCTTAAACATAATACAGCAGTCAAATGACACATGCACATTCATGTTTTACTGCTGAGCAAATAACTTTTATACTTTAAGTACATATTATGTATTCATGCTCTTATTTAAGGTTTTATATGCAGGACCTTTACTTATTGTTGAGTGTTTTCATAATGTGGTATTGGTCTACTATATCACTTTTACTGAGGATCTAAAAACGACTTCTTCAACCACTGTTATAAAGCAAACACTATAAGGTAGGTAAAAAGTGTTTCAAAGTAAAGCTTTGTTGAGCTGAAAGTGTTGACTTTGTTTTGGGAACACTTTGTTAGGAAGCGTTTTTTCTTTTTTTGCAGAGACTTGCTAAGACATGCACTAAGGCTGCCTGTCTGAATCATGACATCAGGCAGCAGCGTTGTCATTTTGCACACAGCGGAAACTTGTAAACGCACTTTAATATAAAGATTGTGTGCTTGTATCTAGCTGTTAGATTTCAGCTTTTATAGGCAAAATAGTAAGACAACATGTCCGTGAAGCCACAGTTACTCACACAACACACGGGGGGGTGAAGTGAGCGAGGATGCATCAGTCAGTCGTGCGGCTCCCAGCCTGACGAGTCCAGACAGCACCGAGCATTTTATCCGCCTTGCAGCTTCAATATCCCGGGCTGCACTGATGGGGCGACGCGCTACCTCGGTAACTGCGATGCTGGAGGGTCGCTTTCTCTCCGGTTTCAACACATAAACCGCTTCAAAAGTTATCCCCGGGCTTCAGGAGCAACAGTGTAAATGCGTTGCACAGAGACCGACGTGGCAAACCCGCACCTCCTCTCTTTGCGACGTCATCGACAAGCGACTTCACTGCACAGTCGCAGTTTAACAAAACACACGGCTGGTCTGGAGTCAGTGCCGATTATAACTTGTATTAATGTTGGTTGTTTTAATTGTAAATAACAATGTTTTGAGTTATGACCAGCATTTTCTAACTAACAAAAGAACAGTGTACTTATACCGAAGTATTGCAGTATACACATTAACATTATAATGTTTATAAAATCTCTTTTTATATGCACATTATGCTTTTCAGTTTAAGGAAATTCAATGGTGCATTTTCATATAGTAAATATATTGCAAACAGTGGTGTGAAATAATTAAGTAGATTTACTCATGTATTGTACTTAAGCACAATTTGAGGTACTTGTACTTTCCTTATGCATTTCATTTGTTGTTGCTACTTTGTAGTTCTACCCCACTAAAGTAATTTGATATCTTAAATTGCTTTGCAGATTTTGATTAAAGATGTGAATATATATATATAGTCAACACTTAAATAAAACTTTAGTTATGCAACTACACCTGGAGTAAATTCACAATCTACCCTGCAGGATAGAAAGTTATTAATACTAGTTGCACCTTTGCCAGCTTTGATAACACTTCAATGTATCAATAATTACATTCAAAAAATAAAATATATATTATTCCAAAATAGACCAATTTGCATCATGAGTACTTTCACTTTTGGTATTTTAAGTTTATTATGATGCCAATACTTGTTGATTGCAGGCATTTTACTGGTAACAGAGTATTCCTACACCCTGTCACTTCTACTTTTACTTAAGTACAAGATCTTATTACTGTTTCCACATACGAGGGCAAAACATATGACTTTACAAGAAGAGAAACACATTTTGTTTCGAAACACAGTATACACTCAGTTTCCTGTTTATTATGTAGGATACATCCACCTGAAGCTAATCCAGTGGAATACAATTAAATAACTTGTATAATCTAGAAGATTTCTAATCAAACCACCTGACCAATGTAATTCTTTCACTAGAGAACTAAAGTAGACTTTCGGAAGATCTTTTAAATACAACATCTAAAAATAACCCTCTACAAAACATACACGGTTGTGATATACAAATATAGCCTTCACTTTCTTAAATACATAGCAGACAAAATATTTTATTTCAAATTGCCTTAGTGCCTCAGAATATACAAGAATACCTTTTTTTCTTCATTATGCATTGTTAATGTTTTCTATAATGTAACTTTTATCATGCATCTACAAATACAAGTTCCAAGGTGAATTAGAAAAATAGACAATCTTGTTTTACGCAGAGGATAAACAGTTTATTTTCAATGTTGATAACAGAAACTGACTGTACAGTGTAAAAAACTTAAGTGAAATAAAAAAAACTTAAAAAACATAAATGGGAGAGTCAACCTTTGCAATTCCATGATTAACGTATTTCTGTTGTATCTCTGATGGATCATGTTTAAAGCAAAAGGTAGAAAATAAACTAGGTACATTTCCCAAACTGTACACCAACAAATACTGTGTCACATGTTCCTATTGTGCTTCACTTAAAAAGAAAATATACACTTTTTGTGCCTGTAACATTGTTGACATAACTTTCTGTCAACAACATGTACATTACTTATTTACAAAGTGTTTACAGTTATTCATAAGAAAGTGTAAATACTTCATTCGTCATATGTACAAAAGGGTTAAAAATCACAATTATTATCTGACCAGAGTCTAACTGCATCCACCTTTTCCTTCAAAACATTAGCATAACAAATACACTTCAAGAAATCCAAGTGATGTAAAAAATGACTATTTACAAACATTAAACTTGTAATATGTCTTAATATACTGGCCATTCGAGTAATTTATTCGGCACTTAATGTTTCATGGTGTCATTAAAACATAAGAATCAACTGTATGACTGCCAAACAAATAAGGTTACAAGAGAAAAACATGAAAAGCCAAATAAAACTATCAAACAGGAGGCATTATTTCAAATCTTAATAAAACAATGAACCAGCAGAGGGAAATATCATCCCCAAAATAGCTCTATTAGAAGACTTTTGCAGTTTTCTTACATCAATATCTAAAAACGCAAACCAATCATATGGGTATCATTTAGGTTTTCTTCCTACATCTTACATTTGCTTTACCTCCTGCACACCTGAGGAATATTCACATTATATAATTCCTTCTGCCAACTTTGGTTGAGTTAGTTCATGAATCATTTAAAAAACATTAAAATATTGGCATTACAAAGTTTACCAGTAGCCAAAAAACAAGGCTCCAGGTTTTAGGGAGGTGTGCATGTTCCCTGGGGCAGAGGTCACAGGGCTTTTCACAGCTGCAGCTTTCAGATGACGATGCTGGTGCCACTGCGAGAACTCTTGCCCTGAGAGAGACATACTAACTTTAGATTCACTTCACCCGCATCACTTGTTTTATATAATCACGTGTTTCAAGGTGTGCACGTTTGTCTTGACGTAAGTGCGTTGGTGTGTGTCACTGTCTACAACTAAAGCATTGTGCGTCTAGAGTAGTGTTCATTCCTCCGTGCTCCTGGTTTCTTTCCAGGTTCGTACTCGCTGTAGCTTGGGGGTTGGTCGACCCAGCCTCCACCTCCTCTCCTCCCTCCTCCTCTCCTGCTGCTGCCCTCATCATCCGAGCTCCAGGACCCTCTTCTGGAGTGCCGTGATGCTGGAGGAGAGTGGTTTCCTCTGGACCTGTTGTCAAACAGGTCGTCTCTGGAGCGGGAGCGGGGCACCATGCCCCCTTTTGGACCACTGCGCCTGTTCCCGTCTAGGGACTCCTCACTGTAGCTCCTGGGAATCCCTCTGGACGGGGCGGGGGAGACGTTACGCCTGCCCACCGGTCCTCGGCCGAAGCCGCTGCTCTCGCTGGAGCTGGGGGGCCGAGTCCTTGGTGCAGGGGGTGCAGTTCTAGCTGATGGCTGCTCTCTTATTGGTGGAAGTGTGATGACACGGCGCTCTGTTGGGCCATCATCCAGAGCAGAGATCATGCTGGGAGGGCCAGGGGAAAATGGGATGTGCTGGGACATGTGCTGGGGAGGAGGCATCTGCTGCATGTGAGGTGGGGGCATCTGCTGCATCATGTGAGGTGGGGGCATCTGCTGCATCATGTGAGGTTGGGGCATGTGCTGCATGTGAGGTGGGGGCATGTGCTGTGGAGGAGGCTGGGACTGATGGAAAGAAAGAGAAACAGAGAAGCAAAATTAAGTTCTGATTAAAAAACTATTTCTGTGTGATCAAAACCAGACCAACTACTCATGGCACACACACAGTGGCACAGAGTAGAGTTCTACGTTTGTAACACCTTCAAGTCCAAATTAAGGAAAAATTACTCAGATACTTGCCCAATTTCAAGCAGTTTTCAAAAGGCAAAGCTAGACATCTAGGTGACAACACAATCAGCATTAACTGCTTTCTTTCATCAGTAATTAATTGCAATTAACCATGAAAGGAAACGTTTAATACTAGAAAAGTAATGTAAACAGGAATCGTAGCCATTACTGTTTTAGGCAAGGCAAATGTATTTATATAGCAACTTTCAATACCTTGCAATTCAAGGTGCTTTAAAAAAATGAAAGACATTAAGAAAATGGCATTTGAAAACATTAAATATAAAGAGTTGACAAAATAATCCGATGCTCCTCTGTTAACATGAACACGTTTGAGAACAAGAGCGGTTACCTGCATCAGAGGGCTGGCCATGTCCATCCCCCTCACCTGGCCCTCCAGGTAATCCAGCATGTGATTAGGGGTGTGCGTGCCATGAGCACTGGGAGGAGGGGGCATGCTGTAGGCTGAAGAATTGGGAGGGGGGAGGGGCATGGACTTCATCGGAATGCTCTTCCCTGAAACAGATCCTAGAGGGAAGAAAACATTTACAATTTATTTTATTCGGAGACACGTATGAATGAATATATATCTAGAATATTAATAAGGATTAGTTGCGTAGCGCGTGTGTTGTGTGGTGTGTGTTGTGTGTGTGTACCGGCGTAGAGCAATGGGTTCATCTGGGATCCATTACTCATCTGTCCATATAACGGCTGCCCTCCCATCCAGGGAGCCATGGCCCTCTGAGCGTCCTTCATCATACGATGTTGCATCACCGCTGAAACAAGAGCACATGCTTTAATATTCATCAATACAGGCAGATGTTCACTAAGTACACATACTTTTGCCACTGATGCTGATTTCCAAAGCTCATACAAAGCTTTCCGAGTGATGATACTGATTCTGGTTTAGACCAGAGCAGTATAAATCCTAGTTGCAGGAATACGTTTAAGAAAGGTCTGGGTTTCTTCCAAATCTCTTTTAAAACGATACTCACACCCATTTGGGCTGTACACTGCAGAGTTTATGACCATTTCTCCTAACCATGAGTGGATAACTTCTTTAGATAATTGGACATAAAGTGATTGGGGACATACATTGAACATTGTATATACAGTCCATCAAACTGTATTTTTGGGCATTTTATTTAATATTTTTGGGAAGTTCTTGTGACATTTTACATATATTTATTTTTTCAGACTCACTCAAACATTTTAATTTGACAGTTTCCGTTTTGTTTTTACCTATTTTTCCAAGTCTACTTATATTATTAGTTTCAATTTGGTTGTATTCTTTTTTTATTTAATTTTTTATATTTTTGTTATATATTTTTCAACCATTTACTCATATTATTTTTTACACGTTTCAAACATTTTCATTTTAACTTATATTTTCCAATATTTCTTAAAATTAACTATTCTTTTGCCATGTATTTTTCTAAATGGAGCTCTGCTTTCTACCTTTTTCAGGACAGCAGCATTGCTCCGGGCAGCAGGGACAGCGGATATAGCAGCAGCATCTCTGAGGGCAGCACTGGCAGCAGCAGATACAGAAGAGGAGGATGAGGAGGAGGGCTCCGATGACGATGAGCAACACTGTCAACCAGTCTGAGACAGGAGAGAAAGAGGCACGTCTTGTTAATAGATATGTCCATGATTTTGTTCAATTTCCTATTGGAAACATTTAGGTTTAAAAATCAAGAGTAAACGCTATGGAAATTCACCATTTGGGGCTACAATAAAATCTGTGAGTATATCTTTGACAAAAATGTTTCTTTCCGTTTCTTACGGTAAACAATGAGTTTGACTTCTTTGTCAGAGTCTCCTGAAGTGTCTCCCGAGGCGTCGACAGAGCAATAGTACACACCGTTGTCCCACCACATCACCTCAGTGATCACCAAGTCTGCCTCTGTACAAAAACACACATCAAACAATGGTCAGCAACTCTGAAACAAATAGTTAAAATGGCCTGTCATTACTTCACCGAACATATGTTCTCTTAGAAAAACTATAAAACCCAAAAATTCGGATTAGTTAACTAAAATAGAGTTATTAAGACACTGATAGTTTTATTTTAATCGCCCTCACAAATAGGGTGAGCCTGGTGCCGATAGTATTTGAATAAACTCACTGTTTTGGATGGTGATCCTGCGTACCCGATATTCGGGTCCCAGCGTGGGTTCATTGCTGCCTTTCTTCTGTATCACTGTGCGGACTGTCCGCTGGCGGTCAGGACAGTCATTTGAAGGGTCCTGTCCTAACTGTAGTGCGGCTTGGTACGCTGCAAAACAAGAAGCAAAGTTTACATGAAAACAATCTCTACAAATACTGGATGGATGAGTTAGTAGACATCCATGGGGCCCAGAGAGTAAGTCTTTAACAAAGAAAAAATCCCCACATCTCAAGTCAAGAATTTTATGTGTCTTTTAACATAAATATGTATTATCAATGTGAGCCCATCATTACATTTCCAACATGTCTTATCTGTTATTGCTTTTAATTATTTTTTAATCACTTTAGGGTATTTTATTGTCATGTTTTACTATTGTAATTGTCTGTTTTTTTCCCATTGCTATCCAGAAATGGTATTGTTCCAGTCAACCCAGTGAAGCACTTTTATTACATTGTTTAAAAAGTGCTGAATTAAAAAAAAGAGTATTTGTCGTACGACCATGACTTGTAGTGCAGTTCAGCATGGCCTACGCATTAAGATTTCTCTAAAAGATTAGAGTAAAAAGTAAGACCTATAGATTCGAAATATATAAAACATATGTAAAAAAGTACATGACAACTATTAAATAAATAGTACAAATGTGCAGAGCAGTGCAAACAAATGCACACATGACAATTTGCTTAACAATGGGATAGTTGCAGCCTTCAACTACACTACTTTAATTCATAGTAACTGAAATAAATACCTCATCGATGAGGTTTTTCACTGTGGGATTGATGAATATTCAGAGAGAATATAAGACTATTTATATAAACATGAGGGCTCTGTTTCCATTCAGCAGCTCAGTGAGAATAGTGTACCCTCTGAGCAGGGGCGCCGTAAGGGGGTGAAAAGTTAGGACGATTCTAAGGGCCCGTGACTGACATGGGCCCAAGCTATTTTAGAACATTAAGAAAAAAATGCTTAAGTAACCAATGTGATTATCTTTTCATGGGGCCCAAAATCCCTGGCGGCGCCCCTGCCTCTGAGACGTGTGTTGTACATGGAGTGCAGGTTGTGTTACCTGTGGAGTAGTAATCCAGCACGGGGTCCTTGCAGAAGGACTTGAACCTCCAGGTGAGCAGCACATCCTGGAGGTTAGCAGAGGTGGAGTAGTCACAGCGAAGGGTCACTGAGGCAAACAGGGTTGTGCTGCGGTCCTGCTCAGGAACGTTCACCTGAATACACACCGAAACTGCAGGGAGACACACACAACAGATGATTACGCATAGTAGTTTGGGTATTTGTGTAAGAATGTATAACGCTATCTCTATAAAATAAGCTGGACATTATGAGCCTACAGTAGGCTAGAGTTGCCAAAAGTCAAGTAGGACATTGTGTGGTCAGACAGAAACAATGTTTGAGAGGGTTTCTATCTACTGGAGGTGTTTTTTTACACAGTGGCAGAACCAGAAAAACAGGTGACACGAACAAAGGCACAGGAAATGGCTTACTGTGAAACTACCAGCCAAACATTAAGGAGCTGGAATGAAACCTGTTAGGTTAATCCGACCCTAAATGTGACAGGTCTCAGAACATTAGCTGGAAAATCATCTAGGTTACAGTTCATAAACGTATATACCAGAGTAATTATCCAAATAAATAAAAACAACATTTATGAAATATAAAATGAGCACAATAGGGCTTTCTCTATCCCCAAAATAGACCTTCGTTAGAGTCAGGCCGATTGTCTTTACGACAAACAAAATTATGCGACAGATATTTTAGTAAGTTTAATTTGATATTTTGACAAACATCCAATTCATTAGCAGGTTCAGTCGAGAGCACGAGGCTAACTTTTCATTAATGACAATTACCTTTGAGAAGCGACAGCAGGATGACCGCAGCCGCTAATCTCCGCATGGTGACACACTGTGAAGAAAATTGGAAATAAAACACCTCGGATGAAAAATAAATAAATCAATAAAAGAAGGGATCAAAAAACAAAAAATAGACTTATAATCTAATCGAAGCGTTACACACAGCTGCTCATTGTATCGTCCTGATCAGTGTGTTTTTGCGGTTAATACCTGAGCCTGCAGTCACCTCTGGCCACACCCCGAAACAGGTGAATTCATCCTGTGACGTAAACACATGCACCGAAGTCTCCCCCCTAAAAACAACAACACAGCAGTGTATCCTTCTTATAGCTATTTGTAAAGCCAGGTGTATCTCTTTATTTATACTTCATTCGTCTACAGGTACATAATAAAAACACATTGGAGATGCCCTTCATCCTAAGAGCATCTTAATTCCCAAAGCTGATTCATGGCATGTCATATGGACCAATGGACATGTACTTTACATCAAACAAGACACAAAGATATCATCATATATTAGGATTCATTCACTTTTAACCTTTAATTGCAATCAAAAGCCAATGTTATATGAAATTATTATTGTGAAAATGACATGACTTGCACTTAAAGTTAACATGACAAATATGAGCACAACAACGTGGTGGGAAATGTGGTGATATTATTTCATAGGAAGAAAAAACGTTTTGATTATGTTCCTTAGTTACTATTTGACACCAGAGATGCTGTACTTTCGTTTAACGTTTAGATGTAACTCTTAACAAAAACCACTAGAGGTCAGCCTAAACTTGTTTTTATGTGAGTGACATTTGTTACTGAGTGTTTTCTGTTAGACTGTTGGAATCTCTAGAGTTTAAACTAGGAAACAAAGCTTTTCATTTCCTGGAGATACATGCTTTCAGAACGTTTCCTCCTTCATAGACATCTGAGGCCAAATCTGCATATGAATGGGACCTCTGTGTGTCTGAAGTGCTTTCCAAGTCCTTCATTTTAACAAAATGTTTTCCCTGTAAGCACACCCACAGTGCACCTGCAGGCCTTCAGAAAAACTCCTGCCAAAGATCCCCTTTCTGCTGTGGCCTTAATGTGAAAACACCATTGCACCGTTTTTATGCACTATATTAATTCAGTATAGTAGAGATGAAAACGTGTAATTGATTCACCTACACCGAAAACAGGATGTTGCATTACATGTGCCTATCAGTATGCCAGTTCATTTGAAACTATATATATATCTGCCTGAAGCCATATCAACTCTATGAACGTACATTTCAAAATGAAAAGGACTGTCAAGTTATAACAATGAACAAAGTACAATATGTATATATATATATATATATATATATATATATGTACACATACAATTCTGCATGATAAATTACTCTTGAACTTTTGGTATTGCAACTTATATCACACTAAAACAGAGTACGATTCCTCCACTCTATTTAAGTTGTTTTCAAATCCTGAGCATTTTTCTATATGGATATATGTTTATGACTTAATGAGCGTACATGAGTAACATCATAGGTGTTATTTATTAAAAGCAGCCAACCAAATGCCATCATGTTTTATTTCAAAGGTTTTGCTAAATTCTGGTTGGTATCCAACATTCCGGCCTGACTTAAACCAGCAAGCGGAGCACATATAAAAACAATCCTGCTACTGCACGGTGAATGGTGATGTCATTTTCCTGCTAATGTCTCTGTAAAGGAGGAAGTTTCTCAACAACATTCCTGACATACTCTCCAGCTGTGAGTGCTCTTAACCAATCTCTCCCATCACAAACATACATCATCAAACCCACGTCCCTCTCTCACAGGACAAACACAAAACCAAAAGCCTGTTTCTGTGCGTGTCATGGAAATATCATTTTGTGCAGTGTTTTATTATCTAATCATCCATGGAGTGGTAGAAGAAAAATGTTCTACAATTAAGTAAAAGCTCTTCAGTTAATATCAGGTAGAAGTCGATTAGTATTATTAGCAAATGAAGATGTCCAGTAAAAGAATGTTGTCACCAATTTAGTTCATTTGAATTTCAAATGTTTCTTTATAAAACCTTAATTTATAACCCCATTACATTCGTAGCTCGAGAAAAGTTGATTTCTGTTTTTTGTTGATTCAAATAAGGCAGGTTTTATGTTATATATTGTTAGGAATTTACATTTGAAGTAATGTATTATTTATGTTCATAATAACTACAAAGCAACTATTATCAGAAATACTAAAGAAGTACAATAAATGGTTGTACTTCAATAGACCATCATATCTTGAACTTAATCAGTTGAAAACATCCATTATTTCTGCTCAACCTATTTACTGAGATAAACAATTGTTTTTAAGTTTTTGTTATGCCAATACAAAATGACTTAATACACAAAAGTTTCATAACATATTGTTTATGTGGAAGACAAAACCATTGTGAAAAAGACAGGCCGTTTGCGATTTCAACAATGAACAAAGACATGAGTCATACTCAATTACACATGGTCTCTCTCTCTCTCTCTCTCTCTCTCTCTCTCTCTCTCTCTCTCTCTCTCTCTCTCTCTCTCTCTCTCTCTCTCATCAGGTTTTAGTTCCTTTACTTTGTGCAACTCAGCCAGTTTTAATACAAGGTGCCTCATGAGTAATGATTTAACTTAATAACCTGCAGGCAACTGCTGGGAAGAACTGGTTCAGTCGGCAGGTTTAGTGCTGGTTTAGTCTATAACCGGATTCATTTAGTACTTTTTAGTGATCTCTGTGCTTCATGTCATGAACTTAAAACTGTCACGATTGGCACTCCCGTTGTTTGGCCTCTTCAGACCTGTTTCTGTTGCTTTGAAAACTTTTTTCAAATGTACAGAAATAAAAACGTTATGGATGTTTAGCTGGTAAATGTTACATTGTGACATTACACAATCTAATTTAAAAATAGATTAAAGACTTTTTTGAATGCCACTTGTTATTAAATGTCAAAGCAACTTAACAACAACTCTGCATGTTGGATAACACTGCCTTGATAACCAGTGTGTCGTGTTTAAAACATTTCCTGCATTAAACACAAAGCGCCTAGTCTACAATACCTAGAGGTTAACGTGAAAGGCATTCAGTCAATTATTTTTACATTTCAAATTGCAATGTTGGGCATTTTACCACCAATTAAAGCCTTATGTTGCAGAATGAATTAAAAGCATTATAAGAGTTTCTAAGAATCTGAGGGAAACCCTGTGAATGACAAAATTAGTTAAATAAAGGAAACATTATTAATATTTTGGCCACATGGGGGCCATAAATGAAGCTGTACGTTGGCATATCATCCAATTATGAAGTAGTTATGGCAAATTATTTAGTGTTGATTTGCTATGTACACATCCAGCAGACACAGAGCAACATGATAAGATAATTGGTTGAGTATTTGTGTCCAGCTCATCAATTCAAGTTCAATATTCACTCTCTTTTAACTCTGAGAAATACCTGGCTCTTTAGCTGATAAGCTCTCCACTGTGTTCACCAAGTAGATGCTAACAGTGTCTGTCTGCTGTTTGTTGCTAAGCAATTCCCATCAGGCCTTTCGCATTAATAGAACAAACTCAAACGCTTCTTTGAGGTTTTTACATTAGTCTCCGGAGCCACTCTGTAGATACACAGGATATAAGCCTTTGGTAATATTAGTTACAACTTCCACTTTTAGTTAACATAACATTAAAATACATTGAGTTAGATGCTTTAGTTCCTGAACATGTTAGTGAATGACAGAGTGTGTGTTGTCACTCAGCTGAAGCTGCAGTATGTCCTTTACAATAATGCTGTTGTCATAAACCCTTTTTCTACAACTGGGCTTATTTAAAGGCGATAGCTCATCAAGTGGAAATGAATGCAGTCATTGTGCAGGAGCGTAAAGCAAGTCTTCTCTAAAGGGACGGCAGGAGACCAACAGCGTCCTGCAGGGACGGACAGTCCAGGTCACACCCCCAGCCTGCATGTGTACAATGTTAGCTCAGCTGAGATGTATATGAGGCAGCCGGTGACACAAACTGAACGGGGATGACTTCATCATTCAGCGACGTCACAGGCAGAAACCCCAGTGACCGTCTCCATGGTAAAAGTGTGTCTGTTGTCCATTTGTTCATTTACCAGTGCTGATCAAGCTTTCCCTCACTGTCATTTGCATTTTTTATGCAATCCAAATCATTTCTGTCTCCCATCAGCTGACACGCGGCTCCCGTAGAGTCTGTGCTGAGCATTCAGCTTGTGTGGCTCTCAGTCCGTCAGACGATGAGGGAGTCCCGGCTGAGGAGAGTGCCCTGCTGAGGACAGAGACAGAGATTAACACAAGAGCAGAGTTCACAACTAAATATGAACATGACATTTTCAATGGAATGAGTAATTGCAAAATGTCTATCGGGGAGCGGTGATATGCGGCGAGCCACCAAATGTATTTATTTGTTGCGGCTGGGAGGCATTTTCATGTGTTTTACATGCAACCAAGGTCATCAGTTTGCAGATTGGCAGCAGGTACTCTCTCACCAAACTGTGATGCAAAAAGTATATTTATCCCAAACGTTTTGGTCGCAGGAGGATTGGCCTCCGCTGGTAGTTCACCCAAAGCCGCACTACACCCCTCTCCGATTAGATTTCAGCGTAAAAAAAGTAAACATTAGCCAAACAGCGTTATTATGGTGAACCTGGGACAAACTTCAATTCAACTGTTTTTGTAATTGTGGAAAGATTTGGTTGTGGCCCCTTAAAGCCATTATATCTTTTGTACACAGTGTATTTGACGTTGAACATCATTTTGACCCAGGTTTGTCAGCATGGAGACAACCAGTTATGATTGTTATGGAAAATAGTGGGATACAGAACAGAGTATTCTACCTAGTTTTCACTGTGGTAGCATCTGAACCTGACCTGTCAAAGGTACAACAACAACAAGAACACTTACTTTACATGTCTGACATATGTAATGTCTTCTTTATATCGTTCCTAAACCGTCCATCAGAGAGTTCTATCCCCCATGCTGTGACCTTTTGCCACCTGGCTGTATTGTACAGGTACTAAATGTAACCCCTCTTTCCTCCGAACAGAAAGCAGGTTTTGGAAATACAACATTGAGTGTTAAACACTTTTCTGTTAGCCTAGTGTTAACATTTTCATCAATAACACACCTAGAAATAATAGTTTCCAATAAGCAGAAAAGATGCTAGCCTACCCCCCCCTCACACTCATAATAGAAGGCTTTATGTAACACACCGTTTTCCGGGTCTTGTCTCTGGGCTCCTCTCTGTGGCCCGGCAGCGAGTTAGCCGGAGACTGAGAGGGGCGAGGGCTCAACGGCGGGGGGCGCGGGGACGGCCTCTCAGTCCTGCTTCTCTCTGTGTCTGAGCAAGGAGACAGTGAATCTGCCTCAGGCCTGTTACTGGGCGAGCGGCTGCAGTGTCGACTGGAGTCCCCGCTGCTCTTTTTCGAGCTACCTTTGGAGGGTGTGTCTGAATCCTCCTCCCCCCGGGCCCCACCCTTCCCCTGGCTGAGCCCTCGCAGCTGAGCCTTACGGTCAAGCAGGCTGTTCAGGAACGTGCTATCGTAGTCCTTCTCTTGAGAAGAGGTCGATGGAGGACTGACTCTGGGAGGAGGTGGGGCAGGACGCTCGCTGTCCCAGGTGCCCCTCCTCTCCGTGGGCGAGTGGAGTGGGCTTATGTTTCGTCTGTGGTTCTCTTCAGGATCACTGTTGTCTCCAAACTCATTTTCTTCATTGTGATAATGCTGCGGTGGACCGTTACGATAGGAAGGATATCGACTGAACTCCTGAAGCTCCATCTCAGAGTCTCTTCGGCTGTCTTCCCTTTTCTGTTCCCCCCTTCCTTCTTTGTGCTTGTAACCTGCAGCAAACTCCTCCAGCTCATCCAGAGAGCCGGTCCGTCCCGCAGTACGGTACGACTTTCTGTGTAGATGCTCTGAACGCGGGTTCCACCTGCAAAAAACAACAAGAGGCCGACAGGGTGAGAGAGGTGACATGGGAAAACAAGATAAAGAGAAGGTCAGCAAGCTTTTAAATATTGTGTATGTAAATAAATACATAAAGAATCTGTCTTTACACTGCTTAAGTAAATAGGTTACTGTTGGCTTTAAACAGTAACCCTCAAGGCTTAAACACCATGTTCTTCCCCTGGAGAATGCCATGTATTCAAATAACAGAGTCACTGATTGTGTATTTTTGGCAGGACAAACACTTAATTTAAAATAATCACCATCAAAGTCAAATAAAAACTGACTCTACAAGTCTAACATCTTTCTCTCCTGTCTAGGTCACCATCATTCTGCTCTGACACAAATAGCAAACAAAGCAGTGTCTTGTTAAAACAAATAAACCTTGCTTCTAAAGTAAAGTTAGTTTACTTTAAATGCTCAAAGACATGTGTCTACACATATCTGTACCTGCTGTGGTGGTCTCCCTCGCTATGATCCTGTTGCCGTTGATGTCGGCCGGGCCTGCGTGACTGTGAGGGTGGGGGGTCGTCGCTGTACCGCCGCGGGGGGAGAGACTCTTCCTGGCAGCGCCGGGGCTCTGCGTCGGGGTCATCACGATGTCGTTGGGGTGAGGAGGGGTTGTCACGGTAACGCTGCGGCTCTGGGCTGCGGGTGTCACGGTAGCGCTGGGGCTCAGGCTGAGGGTCGTGGTCCGGGATGGCGGGGAGAGCTTTCTTCTGGACGTTCCGGTATGTTTGGCGGAAGCCGCTGTCTTCCTCGTGGAGGGAGCTCAGCTCAGACAGGCCACAGGCTGGTCAGGTCAAAGTAAACATATATAAATATAATTAAAATAATATTAAACATAAAATTACTTTTTAAGGGAAGCAAGGCAATCATAAGATATTGCAATAGAAGAAAGACAGATTTGAGATCTGCAAGCGATTACACTACCTGTTGGAAAGGGTTGATTAAACATTCTTCAGGTGAGTAGGCATGCAAGCAAGCAAATATACATATCTGAACTACAGGAAATTGAATAAGCAAGTGCTTGTGCAGAGAGGCATGCCAAAGCAAGCTTTAAAAAACACAATACTGACAGTAGAGAGAGTGTAGCATGCATGTTCTATTGAGTGCCTCGCCATGCTAAAGAAGATGCAGTCCACATAGTCAGAGAGAAAATCCACAGACGGCTTTATGGAGCTTACACTGGGGGCTGATGGACCTGGCAGGGTGGAAGTGAGCTAGTTGTTTCTCTACATAATGAAGCACCCTGAGAGATTCCTGATCCTGAGGTGAAGGCCCGCGGTAGGGAAACCCGACAGCGTGCATCGGAACTACAGATACACACCATCAGCATGGAGAAACTGTCTTTGTATGTGTTTGTTGTGGATTGAGGGTAACTGTAGTACTATTTCAACATTTGTATTCTACTACAATTGTTTCTGGCCATAATTAGAGAGTACAATCGTTAATATGCAGTCATATAAGAACACACACAAGTTACAACATTCTCACAATAAAATAAGAACAGGATTGAACATTCCTCCTAACACTTGTATACAAACTAAGGCATCCATTTTATATGAAGTTTATCTGTAATAATAATAGTAAAAACACAGATTCACTCGCTAATAAAGAGAAAGCCCTCACTTGCTGTAAGAACGCTGCCATCCGAAGGGGGGACAGAGGACATCTTGTCCACCAGAGAAGGGGGTGCGATTGGGACCATCGTCGGGACACCAGTGACAAAGTATGGAGGGTAGGCAGGCATCTGAGGGGTGGAGGTGCCCGTCTTTATACCCTTACCTGCCTCATATACTACAAAAACAAACAATGGCGTTCACATAAAAACATCTTTCCAATATTTGTATTGCAATTCACTTTTGCACCACCATATGAGTGTGTGTGTGTGTGTGTGAGTGTGAGTGTGAGTGTGTGTGTGTGTGTGTGTGTTTATACTGACGGTGTCTTGGGCAGCAGCACGTGTCGGGGCAGCACCAGCAGCTGACGTAGCAGCAGCAGGAGTGAGGACAACACTGACACCAACAAACCCCGACCAACAGCAGGAAGAGGAGACTGCCCAGCGCCACCGCCGACACAAACACCCACTCTGCAAGGACACACAACACAGAATATTAAGATACAAGACATTTAAAAATAGGATGCAACACAATGCAACTCCACCACAGACAGTTTGATCAGATATTGGTCTGTGTCATGCTAACAGAAGCTAATCAGCAGTGACTTTCCTTTAGTTTATTTTTGAGAATTTAAACAGCTTCCTCTGGAACAAAACTAAAACATATATATTTATTGTTTTGTAATATGCAATAGTGATCCTCAAGAGCTGTAAATGGTGAGTATTTTTGGGAGTATTGTTCTCTATGTTTCAATGTTACTTAATTGCAAGTCATTCAAAGGGAAAATGTAAATGAATGTGTTGAATGTCAACAGCAGTATTATATATTCTAAATAAACCTTTTTACAATCTCTTACCCTCTGGTAGCTAGTGTTACCAGTGTGCTATATTTCTGTGATAACCAGAGAGGGTAACCAAGTTCTTAACCAAGATTGTATCCACAAAAAACTGTTTAAACATATTTCTTCCTAAATGCATGTAAGGCATTCAAAGGCCCAATGAAATGGTATAACTGGTTCCTTTACTGTGATATATAGGATGTTGGGATGGGAAAATACACAAGGGAGAGACAGATAGATAGTTGAAATATATGTGTATTTTATCATTTGTAATTCTTCTCTTACTCTTGATACAATAATATCTGAACTAATGTAATCCTAACCAGGATATGAGTTAACACATTTTAACAAAGTGTTTGAGAAGTCAAGTGCTGGAGTGAATTACACAGCAAGTACAACAGATAACCTACATGTATCTGTCTACAGGGACAAAGCAGAGGAAAGGGAAGGAGAGGGCAGATAAGGAAATCTTTAACAATGCAAAACCAAGGACGACAATGTCTCTAAAAACACACACACACACACACACACACACACACACACACACACACACACACACACACACACACACACACACACACACACACACACACACACACACACACACACTTCTGAGCACTGTGGGATTGGATGAGGACAACACCACATACTAATGCAACACTCAGAGCAGAGATAAGCTTGGAGTAACCATTCTGGCTTAGTGACTCATGCCAGGTCATTTTGGGAGTTACTTCCACACAATTAATCCATTCATTTAGCAACTCCTCACAAACTCTGTGATAATAAAATGTGTATTATAGGAATTTGTGATGGGACATAAACAAACCTCCTTCCCTCTTGATCACTGTTTAAGTGGGTAGTGTCTAAATGATGTGGGATGACATGCCAACCACACCCATAAATAACTATAATGACCATAACAGCTGTTTTGCAGCACAGCTCATCGTGGTGGGAGCGACGGACGGACATTATCTGACAGGTGTGGATTTGACTGTTGGGTCAAAAATGACTCCAAACTCAACTCTGTCAAAGCGTCATTATAGCTGATTCACACACACATGTTGTATTATTTAGTGATGCAAGAAGGGAATAGCTTAGACAGTATCAAAGCGTTAGCTTAGGAACATTAAACATGGTGGAAAATGTGTTTGCTTCTCTTTATCAGATCAAGTGTCATATACAGGACATCAGAGCCCAGTCTTCTTTAAAGGTCACCTATTATGCAAAATACACTTTTTGATGTCTTTTTAACGTGTGTCCCCGGTGTGTGAGGAAACTCACAAAGTGTCAGAAAATACAGCCCTCTTTCTTTTCCTCCTTACCCACATCTATAAAAACGGGGGTACAACGGAGCTGATCCAGATTTGCTGCGGTCATGACGACATTACTAAAATGTGGTCTGGCTTTACGTCGAACTTCTGGCAACGTTTCACTCAACCTATCGTCCCCTATCAGAAAAAAATATGCGCAACGTGTTTAGGAAGTAATATGGTCTTTGTTTACATTAGCAAGCATCGCTAACACTCAGAGCTAACGCTGTACTGGAGACAATTTGTGTAAAAAATCTGGATATAAAAAGGTACTGTCCTTATGGTAAATCTGCAAGAGAGAAATCGTTCGAGCTCCATACTGTTTCAGAAATAATCCTTGATGTGGTTTGGAACATACTTGGCGTTTAATCACGGCAGCATTTAGCTGAGTTTCTGCTGGTAGACAGTCTTCTCTTCACAGAGGAGAGCTCACTGCTTGCATGGCACTCCATAGGGGGCGTGGCCACAGCAGCTCAGTGACATTTAAAGGCCCAGATACACCGGCCCGAAATCGGCAGTAAATGGGAGTCAGGCCGAACATGAGCGTGGGCACGCCCTATTCGGAGTGGTGTGCGCCGCACCGTCGGGTCTTTTCTGCCGACCTGACGCCTTTTCTTGCCGATTCAACATGTTAATTCAACATGTTGAATCGGCGTCGGGAACACCACCGGAAGTCGGACAAAGGGATAACACTGATTGGCTGTTCAGCTAGCGAATCAGTGCTTGAGAAGCCTTAACGGAAGTGAGGGAGGTAAACAAATGATTTAAAATGGAAGATGGAACACACACGGACGGCTATTTCACCTCATCGGTTTATAGAGCTCCTGTTCGTTCATGTTTTCAATGGACGAGAGTGAAAATGGAAAGAAAAACACTATTTGTTGTTTGTTTATATCACGGAGTCTGTTCTTCTTCTCTGTCTTCCGGTTGTTGCCTCTTTTGAATGATGAATACACACTACCGCCGCCTGCTGGTAAGGAGAGTTATTGCCACTCACGCATGCGCAGTTCATACGTGCTCGGATTTGCTGTGTGTTCCAGTGCGCGAAGTCGGCAAATACGCAGGAGAGTCCGGCGACGCAACAGTCGGTGTCGGCGTCGGCGACTTCTCAGGTGACTGGCCGTGTATCTGGGCCTTAAGGTGCATTCCGCCACCTCCGGAGTCGGCTTGACTAAGTTTGCATTTATAAAGAATGCACACATGTGTTTAATCGTTAATGTCAGATATGTACTAAGTAAATACATTTGTTCCTGCTCAAGATTAGATTACACTCTATTGTTATTGCACACATTACAGACTGAGACAAAGAAATGCAGTTTAGCTTCCAACCAGGAGTGCAACAAGCAGTAAAGTGAAAAGTAAGTAATGTAGGCCTACACAATCTAGGCAGAAATAAAATGATAAGAATGAATTGAATGATGAAATTAAAAAGCAGTGAGGGTTTATGAATATACACAGGGCCCTGTTGAAGCCAAGTTAATGGAAACAGTTGGTTGTAATGAAACTATTGCTAAGAATAATATAAAGTTATGAAAAAACGGGTAGCCGCAAGTGCAAGTATACGTAATAAAATCATATATCGATTATTAATTTTCATGATGAAATTAAACATGTGGAACAATGATGAAAAATGTTGAATGGAGGGGGCGACGTAAAACTGACACAAAAAGCACAACAAACCCTTTTGCCCCGAGCCAATTTGGGAAGAGTTTTCATCACGCGCACGAGGGGTAAAAAACCCCAATTTGAGCCTTCAGCTCGAAGATTAGCCAGCGAGTTCCGTTTTCCATGCAACGGCATATTTTTCCGCTTTTTTTCCGCAAGGGTCGGTGAAGAGGAACTGGCGGGGGCCGGCCTCGCCGGCGTCTTTCGCGCTGCTGCAAGGCCTGCGGGCATACTTTGTCCGGCGGAGAGTTTTTCAACGTCTTCGATGTTGAAGGCGAGCCTCCAGGAGCAAGTCGGACAAGCAAATTCGAGCTAACCATCATGCAAGGCGCAATAGCAAGCACGTTGATCGAAATTGTGGCAGTGTTCTGGCGGCAGGTTTCTGCGCTTGTCTGCAAAACAAGGCGCTAATATGTTTTAGCCGCGTCTACCACTCAACAGGCATCGAAAATTGCTTTCATGCAACGGCTTCGCCCATGTCACTTGATGGGGTGAGCGTAGAAGATTTTTTAATCTTCGCCGAACTGCAATTGTGGGGAGGGGCATGGGCAATGGCTTTTGCCAAGCATCAGCGAGGCATCTAATCGGCATCAAAGCTCCTCCCGAAACACCTGTTCCAACTTTTGAGGTTGCGATGGGGCTTGGCATCAGGCCAAATCAAATCCGCCGTTTATGGCAATTTCCCCGCCAGTTAACAACGGCTAAGCCAAGCTCAACACCAGCGTGGTAAGTGCTGATAACCGCAGGTCTTCGACTAATGTTTTCTATATGTTCATAATGGAGGATAAATTAATCATTGGGCCGTGGCAAAGTGGTCCCAAGTTCTGTATGAATGGCTGTACTGCCTGTTTCACCCTATCGCGGAAGCCTAAAGCCTGAGGAACGCAGGCAATGGCGGGAGGCTTGGCAGAAAGACAGTTTTGGTGAAAAGCTGGTAGGTTTTCAACTGTTTTTTGGGGAGTTATAATGCAGCAGTTTTACTTCGTTAAGAAGGCCGGGCTTTTTTTTTTGCTTTTGTTAATGCGGGGCGTGGGCGGGAGATTCCTGATTGGTTTTTGTATGGTGCGCGAGAAATCGCCAAGCCCTCAGAACCCACGCCGGCAGAGTTCAAGATTTTTTTGAAATGGCCGCCTGTAGTGTTAGACGGGCCGTTAGGGCTTGTTTTGACGAACGGGCGTTGGCGGGGCTCGCCCCTCGAAAGTAAGAGCGAGAATAAGGCGCGATCGCAGCCGGGGGAGGTCTGGAAAAAGCTGCGCACTGAAAGTGCGGAGCAGACTTCGGGCGAGTTCGGCTTCTTCTTCTTCTTTTCGGCCCTTGCTTCTTGCCTTCTCTCTCGGTTTTTTTGGCAGAATTGGCAACAACTTTTAAGGTGCCCATCGCCGCCCGGCTTTCCGGAGTGGATTCGACTGGGCGGTTTTGCATTTATAAAGGAATGCACACATGTGTTTAACTCGTTTAACGATGTTCCAGATAATGTACTAAGTAAATAACCATTTGTTTCCTGGGCTCAACGATTAATTCCAACTTTTTGTTTTTACAAATAGCAGCAATATTAAACAGGTAAACTGAGACAACGAAATGCAGTTTTAGNTTAAGCATTTTAAAACGTATGTGGTAAGTTGCCAAAGTGCTTTGTTTTGAACGTTCATCAGTATTATAATCAAAAAGAGAAATATGAACGTTAGTTTTTACTGAAATGATCAAATAAAGTCAACATTTCACTGAGCTGTGTGGGGTTTGTTCAACTTTTAAAAGATGTTTGAATGGTGATATACACAGTGATAGGTGTTAAAGACTAACGTTTATAATAAATACATTTGTATTGATTTTAAGATCTTTTCATACAATCATACGTATTGGGATCATTTGTATTAATGTGGACCGGAGGGAGAGGGTGACGAGCATAAATTTCACTTTCCTTTTTTATTTCAATTACAACTTTGGTCATGAAGAATGTATTTATCTTTTGTCCACGATCATAAAGCATAAAACAAGCATCAGAGCATGGTGCAGAGTCTCTAGATGAGTTTACAGTAGTCCCTCGTTCTTATTAAACATCCATGTAGTCCGTTGTATAGAACACTGTAGTTTCCATAGTTTCACCACAGCAGCAGACGCACACAATGACGTCCGCTGGCGCATCATAAACACGTCAGATAGTGAAAGTGCATTTGGATTCTCTAAAGTACCGCAGTCTCTTCTCCTAAATCCTTTTGAATTCTCCTATCCACTATCCCTTAACCCCGTGACGTTTCACTCAGAGGTCGAGGAATAGGAGATAGGGTTAGAATTTAGGAGCTGATTTTTGGATTATCGGAACGCAACCCCAGTATCAGCACCAGAGGTTGCGCTAGACCAGGGGTGCGCCGTGTTATGCATGCCCACACTATCTCGCGGGAGCGCGCACAGCGTAAAGCAAAAACTCACAGACATTTCAATGATTTGTAGGGCAAAGTTAGGTTTGGAAACGGTATAATTTCCTTTTTGGAGGGCATGCATAACACTGCATAACAACGGAGCCTCGCTGCGGGGAAACTTTGGCGTCGTTCTGAGTTTGTTCTAATCTGTCAAAATGACGGACTGCTTTCAGATTTTTCCGTCATTGTTAAAAGAAATCCATCATAGACGTAAAATATTCGGTTAACGCGACCTCAGCACTTTAGTAACAGGGCTGAAATAGAGGTGTATGAGGCATGGCTAGAATGGGTGATCTGTTTGGTATTTTGAGCAAAACACTTCAGAGACATGTTTTGTATAGATATAGCCCTATAATATATTGTTCAAATATAGCATAATAGGTGAGCTTTAAGTTTTGAATACATTGTGGAAAAACTCCATCCCAAAGACCGCCACAATCCAAATGGCTCCTACATCCCTGGTTAGAACAGTAAGTAGGGTTAGTATTATTGATAGAAACCAGGTAAGGGGAAGAATACATTATGCCCCTACCTGGCATAATCTTCAAATCAAATTCTGGCAGGAGATCTTCAGGCACAGCTGAGAAACCTGGATAGGGACAGAGCAGAGGTGACAACAGGAGAGAAGAAGAGATGGGGTGGATATAAATGATTGATTCATAGAAAGTTGTTGCAGCATGCATGATGAGAAAAGCAAGACACAAACAGAGAGGAAAATAGAGAGAAAGATGACAGTTTGCAGGTCAACAGCAGCATGCACAAGAGGACATTCTGGCCTTGTTCCAGAAAGTCTCCAGATCAGAGCAACTGATGAGCAGATTGATCATCTGAATTCTGATAACACATTGTGTAAGGTTAGGCCTCTGCTGAGAAGACAGACTGGAACATTGATCATTCTCATAAAGACAACAAATAGGCAGGAGCTGTGAGTATGCTTTATGCAGAGCTGTAAAGTTAGGTGGGGAAATTCCTCACCTAAAGATCCAGCAAACAGACAAACACTTTGTTGCTGAAATGATTTCTGTCTTTCTGACCAGTGAAGAGTGTAGGCTACTACATGTGACCTGGGGCACAGTAAGCCTATTATTTCTCATCCTTTTTAAGCTCTCTTTAAATTTGACAAATCAAATCCACTTATATAAATTGAGAAAAGTTGCATAAGTTACATGACTCGCCTCGCCTCACACATTTTTTACTTTATACCTCAGTTCTTTCAACAGCAACCAAACAGAGGTATTTCTGTTTCCAGTTTGAGACACTGGAAGGAATCAAAGGCAGCAGAACAAAAAACACTGAGAGCCAGTTCATAAAGAATCTTTTGGTTATATCCTACGTTTTTATCCTGGATTTATTAATATTTTTTTTACTGAATTTATGTATTTGGGTCTGCCTCTAGTATTTAAAAACATAAACAATAACATGTACTATGCCATATACCAATGACTAACATAACTAAAAGTTAAGAAAATAACATTTCTAGATATCTGGTAGTGTATATTGCAATATGTGTTATGGCTGGTGAATTGGCTTTCAATCTTAATTGTTGTATATACAGTGGATTTATTCTTTTAAAAGACTCAAAGGTTTACATCTGGTGTTTGTGGGAGTCAACATTGATTGACTTCTATACATGAATGTGTTTTACAAATAGAAAAGAGAAACACGACTGCCCTCACCAGCTGCCCGTGGTTGTTCCTGGTATTTTGTGTTTCCCCTTAATATTCGTTTTATTTTAACAAAGCTTTAAGAGACCCCACACAAGGTCAGCAAATGTCTGAATGAAACGTTAACAGATAAGGGGGCAGCGTGTCACAAGCTGGTACAAAAATGTGCATGAGTGCGCTTTGTTTGGGTGCATCTGTCCATGTGAGCAGTGCTTTGAGAAAGGGAAAGAGAGGTTGAGTGTGCTGTGAGCAGATACTGGTGTTTTACTGTTAATTTGCTGATTGGCGCAGAGAGGAGAGGAGTGCCGAGCGCGAGAAAGAAGGACTGGAGAAACAGAGAGCAGGCTGACCCATTGTGACCTGACACATACCTCACTTAGTATCTTTCTGGAAGGCTAAACATGTTCTTTGCTGGATTTGAAAACAGAAAGAAACCTCTTAAGTTTATCCACAGCAGCTGAATCATGACATGAATTCAAACAACTAAGTGCTTACATGTGCACTAAATACTTTAAGCTTCCTCTAGTTTCGAATGTGTCTGTTGTTTTGTCTGCTGTCTTGAAGGCAGCTTACTAGTGGAGGTCCCAATCACATGACTTTGCCTGCAGGCTGGTGATTTACCAAGATTTACTTTCAAATCGTTTTCTCCATGTGGCTCCATGTAACACTACTCCATGGGAAATGAGCTCTACAGAGAGGGCGTATACTGAAAAGCTAAACACTTTGGACATTGTAAATAACCTGCCTGATTAATATTTGATTGTCATATCAAAGTTTTGTTTGGTTAGCATTAGCTTCTGAGCTTTGTAAGCCACAATGGGAGTCAAAACGGAGGACGGAGGCAGGCAGAATCCTTCCTTTTCTTTATCAGAGTCCTCAGTCCATCAGTCGAGTGTCTCAGATGGAGTCACCCTCTATCTTTTGTATCACTGCCGTCCCTCCTCCACGTCATTAAATCTTCCCTCTCTTCTTTGCTGTGAAGCCTTTTTCTAAAAAGACAAAAGACCCCCCCAATGCCAGTCGCGCCGGCCTCAACTGTTGCTATGGGAACACAACAAGTGCCTTCCATGCCATATTAGCCACACCAAGACGAGGAAAAACAACAATTGGGGATTGTGATAGATTTAGGGTCTCTTAGGATAGTTAAGGACTGCGGAGGATGAAGATGATGTCATCTTTGTGCGCCTGTAGCATTTTCTGTAACATATTATCAAGGCCATACCCAACATTTAACAGAATGCAATTAAGTCGATGCAAACTGTAAAAGCTCACTGTCCATCGAGATGTGTGTGTGTGTGTGTGTGTGTGTGTGTGTGTGTGTGTGTGTGTGTGTGTGTGTGTGTGTGTGTGTGTGTGTGTGTGTGTGTATCTTGTGCATACACATACTGTAGGTCTCTGAGTGCTGCCCAACCAAACAAAAGTTCAGCCTCCGGGTGAAATAAAGCAACAAGAGCCACATAGACTCTCAGACGTTGCTATGGTACCATTAACGCAGTTACAAGCCTTTCCAGATAAAACACATTGTAGATACTTCAAAAACATGGGATAGAACGCACGCACACACACACACGCACACACCACACACACACGCACACACACACACAGGAACATGCACACACAACGTACAGTATGAGTGAAAGCAGTAACTATGGTTACACACTAGGCATGATTGCCCAAGAAGTCTCCATGCTTGTTGTAAATCAGCTCATTAATGAGCCTGCATTGTGCTGGCTGTGATGAATAGGGCAGTAAATAAAGGGCTTCTTATTTCGCAGCAGTTGGTAGAAAGATGTAATTTACAGTAAATTCTACGATTAAATACATAAAGAGGATTGGTCAGTGATACTGCAGCATGAAGTCATCATTCTAATAGTGTTGTCTAATATTGTACAAAACAAGCTGATGGGGCACCACAAGAACACTGACACAATATGTTACATTCAATCTGTTAGAGTTTACACCAAACCAAAGCTTTGGTGAGCTTTAATGGAAGACAATGAAAGGAAATATTCACAGAGAAGTAATGTGACCAAGCTCTTAGGCTTTTTACTAACACAAACAAAAACTCTTCACAATAACCATGTAAAGAAAATAGTGGCAGCTTACCAAGAACCAGCAGCTCCACTGAGGCTTCGTTCTGTCCCTCTAAATCATCAGATATCACCACTTTGCAGATGTAAACTCCACTGTCTCCCCACTTGACCTCCCCTATGCGCAGGTCGGCCTCTGCAAGAGAAAAAGGGAGATGTAAAACAAAATCCTCCAACACATAATTAATCAACAACTTGGCACAAATATTTCTTTGAGGATGGTTAGTTTTATCTAATTTTCATCTTAAAGTTGTAGACTGCCACACAAAACGATTTTTCATCTTAAACTCTAGATTTTACATAGATGAATTCTGTATTTAAGTTATAACAGAGTCAGGGTTTAAGTAACTTAAATCAAAAGTTGAACACTGAATTTTGGTTCACTAAAAGGTATATCATTATTTATATTAAAACATAAAATACAAGATTCAGATTTGAAAGCTTAATCAATCTCTGTATTATGCCTACTATATGTTTCATGTGAAATGTTTAATGTTAAAAACAGTTCATGGGGATCTGTACATTTGTAGAAGCTCAAGTGAATGCAAGAAACTACATTTCACAAGTCATCCTTCATGTTTTTTCTTTCTATATGTTAGCAAATATCCTAAAGAAATGCTATTCTATGTGTTAAAAATCTCGAATTCAGTTCAAAAATAGTTTCCCCCATGATCCAGCAAATAATCCAACACAATATAGGGCTGCTGACTCCATTGTGAGGGGGTCAGACATGTAAATAGAGCCGACGGGAAACAGGGTTGTAAAATTAACTTCCTTTTCCTGTTAGCCAAGGAAGGGAGAGGAGAGAGGCTGACCACACCACTGAGACCTGTCTCTCATGTAACACAATAACACCTCCACTCATTCAGCGTACACTCTTATAGTGAATAATCACTCAATCCGAAAACATGCAAGTCAGCTGGACTTCCATTTTTTTTATTTCAAAGGGACAATTAAAGCCAATGTGGGGGTTGGTCTCTGTTAGCCATGTTATTAACAGCCTGGTGCATGCTGGGATAGACTCCAGCCTCCCTGTGATCCCAAATAGGATTACATGAGCTGGGTGACTGGGCGTCTCTAAAGGGAACATAGTTGAAGCTTTCACTTTTTGGTCTATTTACAACATTGCTGCGCTGACCGGTTTCAGGGCAGGAGGTGGAAGGGGACAGAAAAACATAAAGGACAAAGTGAAAGAAAAGCCTTACTCCTAGAGACATGAATGTGTGGATGGTGGGATGTGGAGAGATCTATGGAGTGAAAATAAAAGCGGGACATTGAAGTACATCAGAGGGAAGGAGTGAGAGGTCAGGATGAATGAGAGGACAGCGTGCAAACCATCTCTTTTGTCTGTGTTCCTGGCTGCTGAAGAGAAGGTTGATTCTTCAGCTAGAGTTAGAGCTCCATAAATCTGAGGCCTGCAAACAGGACTACCTAACACACACACACACACACACACACACACACACACACACACACACACACACACACACACACACACACACACACACACACACACACACACACACACACACACACACACACACACACACGTACATGCACAGTAGTGTCCCTTAGTTGATCCCTTAAGAAAATAAAGGAATGTAGAAGTAGTGAGGAGGAGATTATTGTAAAGTCTTACAGAGGATCAACTGTAAACTGGTGCAAACAGGAGACGTATTTTGTTAAACCGTTGCCTTTATTAGCATGAGCAAATTTTTGAGCCTTTAGTCTGACTCTTTTACATTGAGCATGTAACATGTCCAGTGTTTCCCACAGATCTGAAATATACTTGGGGGGTTGGTGGTAACGGGGGGTCGAGGTGACGTGCTTTTGTGACGTGTAACAACATTAACATTAACCTTTCTGTTGGTCGCTTGTTAGCAGACCCTACACGCCATGGCAGAGCGAACAGTTACAGGCAGGGCCCATAGTGATAGCTCTATAGTTTAAATCTAACACCCACAAATAAACATTTGGACATGGGTTACTATTTAAAAAAAATGGTAAATGTATTTAGGAACCTATCCATGTGATTTTAAGTGGGGGTGGACCTCAAATCCTCTAGGGGGGTCCGGGGGCATGCTCCCCCGATAACTTTTTTTTAAATGTTGGAGTTAAATGCATCAATCTGGTGCACTTTGAGGGGAAAATAAAGAGACTAGATCTATGGGAACACCTATGTGAAACATAACTGTATACATTTCAATAATCATGAAATCATGGCCATAACCAATAACATCCCATCTACAATATGACAAAACACTGAAACTTGTTTATTTATTTATTATTGGTTCATTTATAGTTGTGAGGGTGTCTGTGCTCCTGAACCAGCCTCCCCTGTCTCCCTCCTCTCCCCCCTGCTCTTCTTTGAGGCAGCAGCAAAGACTAGTTTTAGCTCTCAACAAGTTTTAAAAGTGTATCTTACCTATCTCACATACTTAACTTTTTTATTTTTTATTCATGCATATTTTACTAATCACTACACCCTCAAATGGAAATATGTGTTTACATAAATGGTGACCAAACCGTTTGAGACCCACTGAGAACTTAGACTAAGTTAACTATCTAAACACTCAGAGAGTCCTTTACCTCACCTGAGCTGAGGTTATCCCGAGCTTGAATGGCACACAGAGACCAATCAAGGGCTTTGATTTATGATCTGTATGACAGTGGCCATGTCGGCAGGCCACATCATGTAGACAGCCAGTCCCCCTGTGTGAGGCAGGCCACTTAACAGGCCATGCCATCGGGAAACCCCCCGGTCCTCCCGATGGCCAGTCCGGGACTGGGTACAGGCGGCGTAGAGCGAGGGATCATTGTCCACAAGTAAGTCAATCGCAGATGGCGTCATGATAGCGGACGAATACAAAAAAATAAAAAAATAAAAAAATAAATAAAGACTAAACAGGTCGAGAAATATACTTGGGCAGCCGTTACTATACCTGGGCGGCCCGCCCAAGTATAGTCTATGTGTGGGAAACCCTGATGTCATAAATGCCATCTGTCCTAGCATTCACAATTATTCATGACTGCAGGGCGTACCCAATAGTAAACAGATCATATTCAGAACATTGTGATTTCTGAGACTTTCAAAAAGGTAAAGCTCTAGTTGATCATTTTTAGGATTATTATTGAGATACTGAGATTCTTTGCAAGCCTTGAGAGTTCTGTACTTTTTAATTTTAAAACCATCCTTGCGTTTTCCAACATCTAACAACGCACTCTTTTCTTCTGGTGCCAAACTGAAGAATTGTAAAAAAGAAACTGTTTCTTGTGGGAATGTACTCATTGTTTCTGTGTTATATAACATTATTGTTGTGAAAGCTCTTAAAGTGTTCGGTAAAGCCTCTCTTCTCTCACCCTGTTCTACATGTGTGCAGAATCTCTCTTAGCACACGTTTGACATTTAGGAATCTGTGTGAAGAGCGGGCCAATGCTCGACTCAGGGTTTTATAAAACGTCTTAGGCTTGGAAGCAGAAGAAATAAGACCAAAAGTAATGCAAAAACGAGGCTGCTTTTCTTTTCTGCACCAAGTGAAATGGACAACTCAAAAACTAAACCTCTTTGGCTTATATTTTTATTTTATTCATTAATGTCTTATGTCATGTCTTTGATTGTTTTATATATTGTGTGTTTTAAGTACCGGTACATGTTTCTGCACATTGTGATAAAAAAAAAAAAAAATGAAAATGTTTGGCTGTCTGTTTCCGCCATGCCCCCAGTGTTTAGCTTCAATAATTCAGCACAACTTTCAAAATGAAAGCCAATGAACTAAAACTCCATGTAAAGTTGAAATTCAGCCTCTAGCACAATTACAGTGTTGGTCTGGCTACAAAGCTTCTGTGTGACTCAAGATTATTTTCATCATTGGCATAAGAGACACCGTTTCTGAGGTATTGCTAGAAGAAATCTTACTGCTGATGATGGAGATGTCTCTGTTCTTGTAGTACTCCGACAGTGTGATGGAGGAACCAGAGATGGAGGCCACAGTACGAACCGTCCGGCTGCTATCAGCACAGTCCAGGTAGCCCGCGGTGATCCCCGTCTCGTACCCCCCACCGACCCCCCTGCCTCCACTCGTCAGCCCACCTCCTCCCTGGCCTCCACCCAGGCTGTCGGGGTAGTTGAAGGAGTCCCTGGTGCGGTCCCGACAGTACGACTTGAAGACCCACTGCACCACTGGGGTCTGGGTGGACACGCTGTTGTACTGACATGGCAGAACCACCGACTGGAACAACACGGCATACCTCTTCTCGTCTCGCACAAACACATTGACCCCAGAGCAGAGGGGAGGGAGGACACCTGTGGGCGGATGAGGAGATAATGAAGAGGGATCAGTAAAGTGTGAAAGAAGGGTGGGTTAAAAAACAGGCTAGATAATCATTTAATGTACGTATGTTCGATTTGAGCTTCAAGCGCTCCACTTCTTCTCAGAGTCATATTCAGATCTGCGAGATCTTGTATTTTTGCCCATATCAGATATCGCAGGACTTAGCTTGTTTCACTTATTCTGCACATATTTTGTACCACCCACCTGCAGAGAACATGATGATTCTCCTGTAGTGGTGTTAACATATTATCGTGCCTATTGTAAGCATTCTGTTTGCATTCCCTTAGCAAAACAACTTAACATTACTTTGTATGTAACATTGGCTTATAGCTTTTAAAAGTGTTTATCTGCAGATCCTTAATCAGAGCTGAATGCAGACATGACGCAGATATTTATAGATCAGTATACACTTATCAGACGATATCACTCGCTCTGATCATAATGTAAAGAAAGAAGCTTGGCCTTAGAGTCTCTTTAAAAAACTAAAATCAGTATCCAAGTATTCCAGTGATAACTCTTTCATGGGTGCATTGCAAACAGGATCTGCTAATAGCTAATTCTGCTTATATTGAATGGTGCCAATTGGTTGTTGGAGAGCTGCAGTACCAGACTTTGAAAACCTCCGACTTAGACAAACACGACACCACAGATCTGGAAGCCAAAACAGGTTTCAGTAATAACTGGGGATGTGTAATGAGGGGGGTTTAAGGACTATTACAGTAGACAGCAACACACTATGATTCAGATACTGAGTTGAGGTTTAAGGAGACACCTGTTCCTGTGTAATCACTTGAAACCAATCTTGACAAGTCAAACGCTCCCTTCATTGCAAAATGGAAAGCAGCTTTTCCAAAATGAGATTCAGTGAACATTGTATCGTTTAGCTGTAATGAAATGAGTCAGCCTGCAGTTTGGAAAGATAAGTGTAAGAAAACACAGCCTTCTTGAAACTGTTTGGGTTGCTTCTTCTTGGTGAAGTCTGACTGTGAGCTGAGTTGACTCTGGGTCACATGGTGACCAGGAGCTCGAGCCCGGTAGTTCAACAGCAACACAGTAGAGACGGGGGCCATGTGAAGGTAAACACACCCGCACAGTCACACCCAGAAACATCTGCGCATGCTGCTGAGGGTGTGTGTGTATTTCAGGCTGAGCAGTGGGAGGTGTGTATGAACTGGACCAGTGAACAGGGATGAGGTGAGGGATGAGAGAGGGGCCGCTTCACTTAATCCAGACCAATCCTAATGAAAGACTTCTGTTTTCTTTCTAAGTGAACTTAACTAAACACCCTTGCATGGTTTCAAACATTTGACTATTCTTTCTTCGCTGTTTTTCAAATGGACATAATGAAACTTTAGATAATAAAAGGACTGCAAAGAACTAACCAGAGTTACACACTGTAGCTGTGCTGAAACGATTTGTCAAGTGATTGATACGTTGATTGACAGAAAGAGTCATCTACATTATTAGATGCTGATTTTCTCTTACATTTAAAAAACGATATATATTGACTTGTGCTCTCTTGATCGGAAAAAACAAGCATTTTTAAGGTCTTTTTCACTTTTGACATTTCAGAGACTGAATGAGTAATTGGTTTGGTAATTAAAATGATTTATTTTGTAGTTTATATCCTAATAGAATTGTGAACAGGTCATTAGTTGCTGTGCTTTTATTTAAAAAAAACTGTAGCCATTACTGTTAGTTACATTCTGAGGATTTGTGACCTTCACACATAGACCTATTTTTCTTACCAGAATAATGTTGTTCTGTAAGTATGCAGTTATAGGCTTGTGTGAGTCGTATGAAGCCAAAAGGTAATATGTTGGCTGGAGAAGTTCAAATTGTTTTGCGGGGAAAAAAGCAATTCTGGCCAAGACAAATCAAGCTGACTAAAACTGAAATTCCTCAGGGTGAACATTTCGAAGTTCTGAGAACTGGAAGAAAAAAAGCCAGGAGATTTGTCTCCTTGGAGCACAGGCTGTGGGGCGATCCAGGCTTTATTAGTTTTCAGAGGAAGCCACCTCCAGAGGAGAAAATGAAAGCAGGAGGAGGGCAAAGAAGGTTACTGTTGTTGTAGGACAGTGGAGCTTGCTGAGAATGCTCAAGAGACGGATTTTTTGTGACACTTGATTTAGCTTTTAATTGAGATAAACAGATTCAAAAAACAACTTTTGTTTAATTTAACATGATACTACTAAAATGATCATTACTGTAGGCCTATCACCATAATGGTGATACAGTAATGATCATTTTAGTAGTATCATGTTTGGCATTACCAAAATCAAAGCAATGAGCCCAGCTACTCCGGTGTTTTACCTGGCTACTGTAGTACAAAGTGTAGTGCTACTGCTAACTCAACAATGTGTCTAAAACTATAATATATTTGATCAATTCACGAATATGAAAATAATGAAATGTGGATCAATAAGTGTTTTAAATGCATCTACTATATGTTTTATTAGTTTACTAATATTTATTGAGTGTATTTTTAGTTTCGACTAATTCAATTGAGTGGTCAAATGTAATTTACTACTGTTAGACCTCTTGATCCACAACCCCCAAAATAGTCCGGGAGCCGTGGGGTTGAACCTCGTTTCGTCTGATAAAGTTTTTTTTTGTTGCTGTTTCTTGTAGCTTGGGGGTACCTCTTCAAAATCCAAGAGGGTGCCCGGTGATATCCCTTGAGCATTTTTGGATATTAACCCCTTCATGCCAACGATTCCCAAATCCCTGAAAAATAAGGATTTATGAGATTTCATGCAAAATTCTCAATAGAAATGCACCAAATTAGCTTTCTCCAATGTTTATTCATAAAGGAGGTCATGTGTTCTAAATGAATGAATATTAACCCTTTTATGCCAAGCCAGCAAAACAGGTCGCTGGAAGAACCTTCCTCAACCCATTGAGCTTTTGAGATCCAGAACAATGGATTTAAAAAAAACATTTTTAATATGCTTTTCATGTCTAACACATGTTGTAACCATCATCTAAAGTGTAATATACCCTGTGATTATGTAATTAAACCATAATTGCAAGATTTTGTTGTATTCTGCCTCCAGATTGTATTTGGAATAATTGGCGGTTGGTGCAGTTCCTGTATTATTCCTAGCTATTTGAGTTTGCTAGTCAAGACAAAAACACACTGGGGACTCTTTGGATCATCCGTCCACTTCTTTTATGCCCTTGATGAAGCATAATATGTAAGTATTTCATTTCTAAGATTATTGTGGACACTATTATATTTTATATTGACTACTATTTCACATTATTATACATTTGTGACCCACTCGATCAGTCGGAAGTCGCAACGGCTCATTTCAAAATAAACGTTGATTTGTGTAAAAAACTAGTTTTTCAGGGTTCGGGTGTTTGATTTTAAATAAACAAAGTGTTGGCTTTCAGAATATGAAACTTTTATTTCCAAAATCTCACGACAAATACATGTTTGAAGCTTGTAAAGGGAATATGACAGCTCTCATTGTCCACTCTGCTGTTCAGCAGCGCCGCTTCCCCTCCCTCCGCTGAAATTATGAATGTAAGGCGTATTATATAGTAATCAAGGATAACACGGCAGGGTCCGTTACAGTTTGTTTTCATCTCATTTCAAATAAACAATGTCTTGGTTTTCCGAATATTAAACTTGTTTCGGCAAATTCAGATGAAAAATACAACTTTGAAGCTTCTAACGGCTTAATTACAAGCGGAGAACGGAGTAATTTAACGTCACAGCTAGGGTGACCAGATGTCCCGCTCTGTCGGGACTGCAGAGCATTTTTATCATTTCTCCCCCGTCCCACAGAAAGGCCGGCTCGGTTCGCCGACGGCCTGCACCGTCCTTTATTATTATATTTGTTAAACGGCATCATAATGCGCTGACAGGCGAAAGAGGTGCACCCCCCCCCATTGACAGTTCAGTTCACCAGCGTACACTTCCCCAGGGAAATAAACACAATACACACAAATGCAAATACACACACACACAAATGCAAATGCACACACACACACATGCAAATACACACACACACAAATGCAAATGCACACACACACACACACACACACACACACACACACACACACACACACACACACACACACACACACACACACACACACACACACACACACACACACACACACTATATATACTGCATATTAAAGCAAACGATTATAAAGGTAAAAGTATGAGCATAACAAATAAAGAAGTGTAATGTAAACATTTACGTTATGATTATTTAATATATAAAGACTATATATTATTGAATTACAAGATTAGATATACTTTAGTTGTGAATGAAGCGCCATCTCCTGGTTAAAACCTGAAATTGAAAATCCGGCAACGCCCTCTTGGAAATTGGGCTTACATTCCGTACTGG